TTCCAACCCCAAAAAATAGTGTATTGTACCCTGATCCTTGATCTTGAATTGAGAGTCCAAGAAGACTTTAAGGAGTTCATTTCAGAGACATCATCCCCAACTAGAAGGATGCCATCCACATATACAGCAAGAACAACCAGAGAACTAGAGATTGATTTGGTGAAGAGAGAATAATCATTAAGACTAGAAATGTAGCATCTAGAGAGCAGGGCTTCAGACAGCTTTGAAAACCACTATCTGGAAGCCTGCCTGAGGTCATAGAGGGACTTCTTAAGTATGCAAACCAGTGGTGGAGATGTGGAAGAAGAAGAGATGTCAAGGCCAGGAGGAATCTTCATGTAGACTTCCTCACTTAGATCACCATAGAGAAAATTATTGTTAACATCAAGTTGAAAAACAGTCCAACCTCTTTTAACAGCTAAGGTCAATAGGCATTTAATAGTGGTCAGCTTGACCACATGGGAGAAAGTCTCAGTGGAGTCAATGCCTTCCTTTTGAGCATCACCCCTAATAACCAGCTTGTCCTTATACCTTTCAACAGATCCATCATCCTTTTGTTTGATCTTATAGACCCACTTGCAAGGAATGACTTTCTTATTAGGTGGTAGAGGAACAATGTCCCCAGTTTGGTTTACTTCAAGATCCCTAAATTCTTGTAGCATAGCCTCCTGCCAGGCAGGGTTTGATGCAACCTGCTGGTAAAACTGAGGCTCATGCATATGAGTGTCACTAGGAACAACCATGGAGGAATCTGGAGGAGAGGCGGGAAGCAAAGCAGAGCTGCAGACATAGTCATTCAGGTAGGTAGGCTTGGTAACTGTTCTAAGGGATTTCCTAAGAGGAGAAATATGAGAAGAAACAACAATGTCAGGGGAGGATGTAGAAGTAGGTGCACTAGGAGAAGGAATATTGAAGGTGACAGGGTTGAGAGGAGAATGAGAAGGTACCAAAGGAGACATAGGAGGACTGGTAATAGGAGAGGGAAGATCTCCAGTGGCAGGAGGAGTGACAGAAGTGGGAATTGGAGATTCAATAAATGGTTGTTCAAAAGAAGGAAAAGATGAATGGGAGAAGAAGATTATGGTTTGTAAGGAAAAATATGCTCATGGAACACTACATCTCTAGAATAGAAAACAGAAAAGTTAGAGAGATTCAGTAACTTGTAGCCCTTCTTCCCGCATGAGTAACCCAAGAATAAGTAGGAGATGGCTCTTGACTGGAATTTATCCATGCTCACCTTAAGTGATGTTGCAAAGCAAAGGCAGCCAAAGGATTTTAAGTGTTCATAAATGGGTGGATTCCCATGTAATTTTTCATAAGGAGAGACGTTGAGCAGAAGAGGTGAAGACATTTTATTTATAAGATAAGTAGCAGTAAGTATGCATTCACCCCAAAACTTGAGAGAAAGCTTAGACTGAAATAGAAGTGCCCTGGCAACTTCCAAAAAGTGTTTGTATTTTCTCTCCACAACATCATTTTGTTGTGGAGTGTGAGGAATAGTTCTTTGATGTAGAATACCCTCATTTCCAAAGAAATTAGTGGCTTCAGTACTACTATCCAATTCAAAGGCATTATCTGACCAAAAGTATGAACACTGGAATAAAATGAACTTTTACCATAAATGTAAATTCCTAAAGAATAGATAGGGCATTACCCTTACTAGAGAGAATGTGTGTCCAGGTTACTCTAGTGTAATCATCCACTAAAGTGAGAAAATACCTGAACCCATTATATGTCTTGGTGTTATAGGGTCCCTAAATATCAATGTGAACAAGTTGGAAGAGGGCAATAGATTGTATAGAAATGTCATAAAAAGGTAACCTCTGTTGTCTAGCCATTGGGCAAATTGGACAAAGAAAAGATTGTTTAGAAGAAACTTTGTTGGACAACAAGAAATAGATCTCATTCTATGAAAATGTATATGACATTATCTTTGATGCCAAAACAAGTCCATTTTATTGATAGTGGATGTTTGATTACAAGTAGAATCAACAACAGTTTGACTACAAGCAGAATAAACGACAATTGAAGGTTGATTGGAACAATGAGTAAATGAATTAGACTTATTACCAGATATTGAACTAGGTTGTACTATAGAAGCAGTAAGAGAGGAAGGAAATAGATTAGCACCTGGATGTAGGTAGTATAATCTCCCAGCAGCCTTACCAATAACCAGTGGCCTCTTCAAAGAAGGGCCCTGTAAAAGATAATTAGTTTTGGTAAGTACTGCTATGCAATCCAACTGTGTGATAAGTTGATGAATAGAAATTAAATTGAATTGGAAAGAAGGAACAATAAGTACATTGACCAATGTTATATCATGTCTACGATGTAATGATCCAGTTGATATAACTTTTACTTTATAACCATTGGGTAAAGTAACAAGGAAGTGTTTAGGTAAAGGTGTGAGATTTTGAAGTAAATGTTTGTAAGGAGTCATATAGTTAGTGGCTCCTGAATCCAAAATCCAGGGTTGCATACCTAGATGTGTAGATGCATATGCATGAGAAGTAGGATAATCAGCAGCATAAGCACTAAACAAACCTGCAAAGTGAGCAAAAGTAGAGTCTTCTGTGGAGGAAGCACCAGGAGACATGCCACTAGAGAGTTGAACGTGCTGAAACATACTCAGGAGATGTTGATATTGTTCCTTGGTGAAGCAATGAATTGAACTATCAGAGGAGGCAGCAGAAAAACAAGAAGAAGGGACATATGGAACTTCAGTCTGGACACAAGATGCTAATTTCTTGTTTTTGGTGAACCTAAAATCAACAGGAAATCCATACAGCCTGTAGCATTTGTCCACAATATGACCAGTTTTCTTGCAATATTTGCAAGACACAGAATTTGCATTCCTTTTAGAGTCAAAGTTGACTTTCTGGGTGAAGTTCATGTTGTTGTTGTTGAAGGAAGTAGGAGAGGCTAGGAAAGATGCTGAATCACCAGAAAAACTAGGAGTATGTGGTGCTTCTCTCTGACTCTCATCTTGTTGTAGGATAGAGTAGACTTTACTTATTGTGTGGTAAGGGACTCATCATCATGATGGTGCTTTTGACAGTAGAATAAGATTCATTTAATCCATTGAGGAATTGGAACAACTGTTGGTCTTCTATGAACTTGGGAAGGGCCCCACATGAACAGGTAGGTCCCACATAAGAAGAATTCAATTCATCCCAAAGTGTTCTAAGCTTAGTAAAGTAGTTAGCTATGTCCGGAGAACCTTGCACAATTGTACTTATCTTTCTCTGAATTTGTAGATACTTTGACCCGTTGGACTGCCCAAACCTCTCATTGATATCTTTCCAGACCTCTTTGGCAGTCTTAAGACACATTACACTTGTGGCAATTTCTCTTGACACAGAATTTATGATCCAGGACTTGACCATATCATTAGACCTTTCTCAATAGGGATAATAGGGTGAGTCTGGGGTAGGTTGGGATATTCTCCCATCTAGGATCCCTAGTTTATTCTTGGCAGATAAGGAAGTGAGCATGCTACTTCTCTAAAGAACAAAACCCGTACCATTAAAAGGTATTGAAACCAATTGACTACCAGGATTGTCCGAAGGGTGGACATACAGAAGGTGAGAGGGATCTAGGGAGAAAGGTACAAAACCTTCAGAGTTAAGGGTTGTGGTATAACCTACGTTATCAGGAATACTACTCATGGTAGCACACTTAGTGAATTTACACAATCACAAAAGAAACAAACATCAGAGACCAAATCTGATTTGAGACGAACAACAACTTCTACACACACAATATGCAAATCACAGAATTTTCTCATGCATGGAGAGAAATAAGTTGTAAAATTGTAGGTAGGAAGAATGTTACCGGTATTGTGAGCAAAATCGAAAAATCCTAGGACGACACTCGAACGAAGCAGAAAAATGTTGATAACCGTTAGATTTCACCAACACAACATCAGAAGAGTCGATTTCCAGCTAAAGTTATAGAAATCTCCAATTTTCTTCGAGGAATTCACGTCCCAAACGAAAACCCCAATTTCAGCGAACCAAAAAGGAAAAAGGAAAAAATGCCAATCAAGAGTAACATCGGAGTGAAGCTGAAAGTGAGCTGATAGCAAAACCATGCTCTGATACCATGTTAACAACATCAAAATCCATCATCAACCGGAAAGAAATTGAGAGAGAACTCTAGAACCTTTTAAGGAAGAGAGAGAAAGAAGAGTGCATTACATTGTCTAGAAACTTCTACCGACTTATTACAAAATATCCTAATATAACTAAAAACAATAATGAATCTAATAAAATCTATTTACAGGTATTTATATAAGCTTGTGGGCTTGATGGATTGCACTGTTGGGTCGTGCAGTGTTGCTTATATTGGGCCTGGACTTGGGCATGAGCTGTAGAGCATGTAAAGTCAGTGTTAATAATGTATCTTATTGTTGTTATTGCTTGTTGTTACTCCTTTTTTTTATCTTTCATTGAGCTGAAGGTTTATCAGAAACAATATCTCTACTTTCTCAAGGTATGGATAAAATCTACATACACACTACTTTTCCCAGATTCCACCCGTGAGATTACACAGGTTTTTGTTGTTGTTGATATCTAGTTAGGGGTCGTTTGGTAGGAGGTATTAGAAAAAATAATGCAAGCATTAGCTCTATGCATTACTAATACCTTGTTTGGTACATTTTTTCAACCTGTGTATGTATTAGTTATACATCATACTTGGTATTATCCTATGTATAAGTAATGCATAGAAAATCATGGCATTAGTAATACCAAGGCTATTAATGCATGTATTAGTATGGTTAAAGACATAATTGTCCTTAAAGTCTCTTTAAAGCTAGTAGAGAATATGGAGGATATTTTTGTAAACAACTATTTTTCTTAAAAATTATGCAATGCATTATAATTCTAATACACCACACCAAACAATAGATAAGAAATAATATCTGCATAACTAATACTTGCATTACTAACTCATGCATTATTAATCCATGCATTACTAATACACATTATTCCGCATTATTCTTATGCACAGTACCAAACGATCCCTTATGGATAAAGTTAAAATTACAACCCGAATGAAAAGGAAAAAAATAGAGAAAAATGTCAAAAGCAGACTGGTGAAAGCTCGCCCTTAGTAGATGAATCAGCTCATTACAATAGGCAGCAAAACCAAAGATAAAGACTGTCTGTTGACAATTCACAAGAAAAAAAAGTTGCATAAAATGACCGGAAAAGTTAACTTCTAACAACAGAAAACAAAAAAAAATAAAAAACAAGAGGATACCCTTTTAATTAAAGACTAAAGGGTTCATCATTTCCAATTCCCAACCCTAAAAAGGTATCAAATTAGGATAATGATAATTAGCAGTAGCACTTAATATTAAAAATTAATTAAATACTGCTCTGTTCACGTGACCAAATATATGGGCATAGCTGAAGTTGTGGAGATCCTATGCTGCTGCTGGTCCATGTTAAATTCCCTGAGTTTAATGTAGGGGATCTCTAAATCACCTTTCCGGTTAGGAGTTAAAGTTCCGGCGAGTGGACCGGACGAAGGCCGGCTGGTTGTACGGCAAGGCGTATTCGACCCACTTCTGCTCTCAGTAATATAAACCGGCCCAGATAATGATCCCCGGAAAGTAGCACACTGGCGGTGAACTTCGCCGTCGACGTCAAGATCACCGTCGCCGGAGATTTTTTCATTTTTGGAATTAGTAGTCCTCTTGAAAAAGAGCAGAGCATTTTTCCACCATTTTTTGCGGCTACTGTTCTTCTTGATCTTTTTTGAAGATTCGTCTTTTGAAATTGGTTTTTGTAGCTTGAAATGAACTGTATCTATAGAAGATCTTGCCGTTTCTCTAATCTTGTGCTTTCTTGCTTCTTCTAAAATCTGTTAATAACAACGTAGTTTACTTATTAATAAAATGCATTAATTAATGGCGTAATTTAGAGCTTGTCAGAGTAAAATTAAGGACAAGAACGCATCTTTATTTAAGTTAACAGGTGCAAAATCAGTTGTTTCCGACTCAAATTACGTATATGTACCTAAACTAAATTAAAAAAATAATTATGTATTTTCGACGTACCTGAAAATAATCGATTTGAGGGTCGAAGCCATAGTCACTGAAGTGTTGAGGTTCAACAAAGTGAAAAATGGGGGATTTGTTTGACATTTTTTGGTTTTTTTCTGTGGTTTTGTTGTTTGCAGATTGAAGAGAGAATTAAAAGGAAAATGAAGAGTTGGAAGGAAAGAAAAATGGGAGGGCAAAAGTGGGATAGTAAGGAATCGCGCCTTTGGGGGCTCAATGGCCGTTGGTATTTGCAAACCCTAATTAATGCCTATTGGCTATTTTTGCAACTTTTCATGATTTTATTTATTCAACTCCCAATACAAGCCTTCTTCATATTTAATGCAATTAAGTTATTTCACACATTGAAAGGTGGTAGCATATGAAGCATAACACAACTGTGTTGCACTTCACGGGAGAAAAGTGTGCTGCACTTTTTCAGTTTTTATAGTTAAAAGAGTTCTTAACACATAAGCCTCGAGATGCTAAACATCATTATATGTAGACAGTCACGGAGTAAGCTTTAAAGGACCAAGAAAATTAAAACTTGAGAACTTTAACTCAGATCTGGTCAAAAAATATTATGCGTGTGCCTCGCTATATATCTAGAATTCTACTGCCTCCATTCAGTTTTTACTTGTCAATTTTTCCAAAATCATTTTTCTAGAATGCTATCACTATTTTGGATGTTATCGTAAACTTCATTTAGCTTTTTTAAGGAATTATTGTGGACAAATAAAAGTGAACGGAGGGAATAAATCTTTATCGTACATATTCCTTTCAATTTATTTCCTTTTTGAAAAATATAACTGTGGCCTACAGTTCTAAAAGAGGAGAGACAACTTTCTTTACGTATCGAGGCAAAGGAAATTTTTCCAAATAATAATAACAATAAGGAGCAAGAGTAAATTTTCGTTGAAATAATAGTTTGTAAAGAAAAAATGAAGGGTAATTTTGGGGTGCGACAGCCCCTACCTGTTCCCTAACTCTGCCCCGGAAAGGGGGCTTCACATTTTTTGCTTAAACTGTCAATTTTATGTTTGAAAAGTACATCAAATGTGATTACAAGGGTCAAGTTTAAAAAAATGTGAATTATTACTAATTTATTAGCCAACTTACTGTGTTTCGCTCTTAAATCAGTTTAGGAATACTCTACACTTAGAGAAGTCGTGTTATTCTTTACCAGGAATTAAGGAGAAAAGAGAAAACCTAAACTTTATTTTATCCGATTGATATCACACTAGATCTATTTGTTAAGAACACAAGCATTACTCAATATAAATATCCACATAATATTATCTGTAATCAAGTGTTTGTAACGTTAACTTGTGTATATTTGGCAATCAAATATTTATATAATTATATATAAGAAAATTTAATTATGTTGATCATTTAGAAAATGCTTGACGAATCATTCAAGTTCTTAAGCGAAACAAAAGAATCAATAAAAAAGTTTCAATGCTAAAACGTACACTAGTACAAATATTATAATTTCTTCCCACTAGTTTTTTACGTACACATTAAAACTTAAAAGATCATTTTAAGAAACCATAAATATGAATTTTGCTCAAAGTCAATTAGAAATCATGTTTCAATACGGGGTTTAATTTCTAAAGTCTTTGCTTAATATTTCTTAAACGTGTTGAATATAATTTTAATTTGATTGAAGATGGGTCCACCACTTTACCCAGATTCACAATTTACTCGTTATTTCAAAGTGGGGTCTTTTCACATGAATAAGCATAAGTAGTCATAACTGCAAAAAACTTATGGATCACGTAAACATTTACTAAGGATTCAATTTTCATCAAAACATTTTCTTCGTCAAATTTCCCATCCACAAACCTCCCTTCCTCTTCAAAGAAAAAAAGAAGGAAAATTTGCATAAATATACAATTCAACACATGCGTACACACACATTGCATCTATGTAGCCATATTTTTTAGTTTATTTTCGTATAACTATTAAAGTATTTTTTATCGCAGTAGTGTTTGTATACTCTTATACGTTATTATATAATATTTTATATACATATACAAGCAATATATCTATCTTGTATAATAGTGTATTATAAATGTCTCTTACTATAGTGATGATTTTTTTTTTTTTTTACAATTTTCAGTAGCCATTTTTGTTTAAAGACGACTAAGGAAAAATGGTTGGGCACGATAATGGGGAGCCATAATATCCACCCTCATCTGGATATTACAGTGCAAATCCCGTCTGATATCAACTGTAAATCAACATTTATCGAAGAAAGAAGATTTTCATCTTATTTAGACTTGTACAAGAATTAAACTCTCATACTATATAAATGGGAGAACTTTTCTATTTTTAACCACTGTTGGCACGTATATCAAAATAATAAAGTTTATTGTTGTCTTCTAGCTGTTGTTCAAAGTATTCTTCAGTTCCTCTTTTCTTTAGTTACAACAGAGCCTGTATCGAGGGCTCGATCGGAACTAGTTTCAGTGTTCAACTTAAAGCCAGGCTTAATTGTTCCATCACGTTTGGTTTGATCATTTTATCTCTCTTTAATTTAATTATTTGTTGTTCTTAGATCATTCATGTTAAATGAAATCACGTATCTTTTAAACCGCGAACAAATTTAATTGTTACTTATTTTATGGCTAAACAGTTTGGCACTCACCGTGGGGCAAAGGATAATAGAGGTGATTTAATGAGAATCTCTATAACACACCCTATTTTACACTTGATCTTTGAAGTTTGATTTCAGGTTAATCTAAGAAGGTCAAATTATAAGTCTACTCATTTGAACGTTGACGCCGAGTCAGGCCACCACAGTGAAAACAATAACGTGGTATCCAACAATACCCTCCGTTGATCCCAATGGTGTCCCAATCACTGATCATTTCGATGCTAACTTATAGGTTGCCATTAACATCAACATGCCAACTGACCCCGAAAATAGCATTCGCAGGGCACCCCAGTCGTCAGCTCGAGAAGCAATCGAAGAGAAAGGTGATGGAGTTAGCTTGCGATTGATTTACGAAATATTGCAAGCTCAGCAAACGACAATAGTGCAGTTGCAGACCCAAGTTCATATCCCTAATAGGACCGAGCCCGAGCGGATCAGAGAAAACACTAGAAGGAATAAAAAGATTATCATGGAATCAGATAAATTCGGGCCCGAGGAAGCTTCTGAGGTGATGAGGTTCTAAATGGAGCAAATGGACCTGCCCCCAATCGCAGATGATTGGACCGTGCAGGCATTCACTCAAGGGCTCAACCTCGAAGTTTCGTTATTTCTCAACAATTGAAGCAAAACTTGGTGGATTACCGGGCGGTACTTGGGCCGACGTCCATAACAGGTACGAATCAAAGATTATAGTCGAGGACGACCAGTTGGGGGTCCCCTCGGCGTCTGTTTACCCTAATAGAGTGAATGGCAGATCTAAGAAGACTATGGACTAGGAGCCAAGGCCGGTATGGGATCGGTATCATCCATACGGCTCAGACAAAAGGGGAAATGGATCCGGTCGCCATCTAACCAGGAATGACAGAAGAAATGAATAAGGACCGAGCAACCTGGATATGATGAGCAAAAATGATTTTGACATATCGCTCGGGGTAGGAAATCACCAAGATTATCGAAGTACAATTTCAACGTGGATGCTGCAAGTCTGAAAGTATAGTGTCGGCCATTGGTCGCATCAAAGAGATGAAGTGGCTTAGACTATTTCAGTTCGATCCCGCACATATGGATCACAACTTGGTGTGTAAGTACCACGATACTCGCAGTCATAGGATTGAAGATTGTTGATAGCTAAGAAAGAAGTGGCTCGATTATTCAACAACATACATCTTCGGGAATTCCTAAGTAAACGGGCCAAAAATTATTTCAAAAACATTGGAGCTAACAAACAGATTGAACAAGAGGAGCCCTAACACGTGATCAACATGATCATTGGGGGAGGGATGTCCTCCAATGGCCAATGATAAAACACACTAAAGTTTCTATCACAAGGGAAAAGCGCACACGGGATTATGTCCCAAAAAGGGCCATCTCGTTTAGCGACGAGGATGCCGAGGGCATCATTCAGCCTCATAATGATACACTAGTAATATCCGTACTTATGAAATAATCTTGAGTTAAACATGTGTTAATTGATCTATGTAGCTCGGCCAACATCATCCGATGGAGGGTCGTAAAGCAATTGGGCTTTTTAGACCAATCGTACCGGCGGTCCGGGTGTTGAATGGATTTAACATGGTGTGCGAGACCACCTACCAATGAACAATCCCAGGAAACAAAGTTCTACGTGATCGGGGGGGATATGAGGTACAACACCTTGTTTGGAAGGCCATAGGTTCACAGCTTGAGGGCGGTGCCTTCAACCTTACATCAGGTGTTGAAAATTCCAACTTTGGGAGGAGTTAAAACAGTCTACGAGGAACAGCCAGCCGCAAAAGAGATGTTTGATGTCGATGAAGTGACCCCGGTGACCGCAGTCTCGACATCAAAAAACTAGGGACTAGTCGAAGAAAAGGAAAACCAAATAGCAATCAACGATCCCGACCTCGAGCGAGCCGTAAACACAGGAGGAGCACACAACTAACGAGGAGGATGATTACGGTGTCCCGAGATCCTTTATCGCACTCGATGACACCGATGTCACTAAATCGACAATCGAGGAATTGGAGCAGGTTATATTGATCGAGCACCTACCGAATCGAAAGGTATACTTGGGCACGAGGTTAACTCCCGAGCTCAAGAAAAACTTATTGATATCCTTAAATCTAATACTGATTGTTTTTCCTAGTCCAACTTAGGTATGATAGGGATCCCATCGGAGGTGACAACTCACAAATTGAGCCTGGATCCAAAATTTCACCCGGTCAAACAAAAGAGAAGGCCGCAGTCCGAGATCAAACACACTTTTATCAAAGACGAGTTATCTAAACTTTCAAAAATAGGTTATATACAGAAAGTCAAGTATCCAGATTGGTTAGCTAACGTAGTGGTCATACCTAAAATAGGAAACAAAATTAGAATGTGTGTACATTATAAGGACCTAAACAAAGGTGTGTCCGAAGGATTTATTCCATTGCCTAACATCGATCGAATGATCGACGTGACTACTGGACACGAGACATTGAGTTTTCTCGATGCCTGTTTCGGGTACAACCAAATTCAGATGGACCCGAGCGATCAAGAAAAAACTTTTTTCACAACAAAATTTGGCACCTACTGTTATAACGTTATGCCGTTTGGGCTAAAAATGTCAGTGACATGTAACAACGCCTTGTTAACCGGATATTCGAAGAACAAATAGGGAAACCAATGAAGGTTTATATTGATGATATGTTGGTTAAGTCCCTACGAGCAGAGGACTAGTTGAAGCATTTGTAGGAAACCTTTGACATATTGAGGAA